GCAGGGACACCCAGCTTCTACACTTGCATAAGGGGGCTGGGGGTCCCAAACTCAGAGGGCTATGGTTCTGGGAGTTAAGGGATATGAAAGCAACCTCCTCTGGAGGGCACAAACCCAGGAGTGCATTTTACCAAATCTTGGCATGTTTTCCTTTCTCCCCCAACAGAGCATCTCTTCCTCAGCATTCACATCACAAAACTAGAGGAAAATCGTTTTCCACTTTCAAAAATTCAAATCCCTCTGACACAGGGGCTTGAACATAAGTACAACCAGAATCCCAAACTGAACCACGAACTACCTCCAAAATATGTTCAGAGTTTTCAATTTGCTTCTAAAAATCATCCTTGTGGTGAATCCATTCACTCTGGAACTAATCCAGATGTTTCTAAAACTGATCAACTGGAAGGAAGTCGGGATGTCAGAATAGTCTCTGAATTCAACCTGAGAAAAATTCTTTGCAGTTGGAACTTTGCTTCAACTTGTCACCATGGGAATCGGGCCTGTGGTCTCGTGGGTCCAGTGGCCAGCCAGATGCTGAATTCACCCGCCTTTCTATTGATTTCTGAGTGAGGACCTCGCCAGGACCCATGGACATCTGTGACCAATTATGGATAGTTTCAGGTGGCATCATTAGGACATTAGCAGGTGGCAGTAGTCAGTGTGCATACAAACGAGAATGAGATGGAGGTGTCCTCTTTCAGAAAGGGAGAGGGGAGCTGGCAGCCAATGTCCAGGGCTGTTTTGTGTTGGTTTTATGGTCTTAACTGCTGGCAAAGACCCTTTCCGGCTGGGAGCTCTGCTTGAGAACCCAGAGAGCCGTGTTGGCCTCCTCTGCTCCTCAGAGTCGGCTGCTCATTAGGGATTCTGGTCAGGCAGGGATGTTTTCCCGTTAGCTCATTACAAACTCTACAAGGTCCCTGCTCCAGATAGTGTCTGCTTTTCTCCTGCTGGGGATCACCATGAGCAGCTTGTTGGAGCCTTTGGTAACTCATTTGTTACAACATGTGATTCATAGCAGCAGGAGGACCCTGGGGTGGAGCAGGCAGAGGAGAGAGCAGAGAAGAGATGGAGGCAGAGTCCCCTTTGTGGAAGACCAGAAGGCATTGATGCCCAGGGCTGTCGAGGGGCCAAACCCAGATCTTACTGGACACCCAGAGTCTTCTGAGAGCCTGGGCACAGCTATGTGTAAGGTGTGGACAGACATAGAATGAGTATAATTTGTTTCAATTAGGATCTCATTTTTGTGGTTATACACGATGTGGAGTTATATTGGTCGTGTATTCATATATGATAGGAAATCATGTCTGATTCATTCATATTCCTATTCCCATTCCTTCTCCCTTCCCTTCATTCCCCTTTGCCTAATCCAATGAGCTTCTATTTTTCCCTTCCCCAACCTCCCTTGTTGTATGTTAACATCTGCATAGCAGAGATAACACTTGGACTTTGTTTTTTTGGGGATTGGCTTGTTTCACTTAGCATGATATTCTCCAGCTCCATCCATTTACCTGCAAATGCCAAAATTTCATTCTTCTTTATGGATGGGAATTAGTCCATTGTGTATATATACCAC